CGAGCTCAGTCACTGCTGAGTGAAGAGAATTAACCATGGCTTCATCCACCTCAATCCTTTGAATGGTCCATGTTAGGAAGTGGGTTTTGAGAAACTTTCACCACAAGAGAATGGACAGACCATCTGGAATCTGTCCTGAAATGGAGCTATATACATGTCAGTTGTTATTGTATTGCCAGAACAACCAAGCAGAACCTGGCTTGTAAATGGAGTGGAGAATGCTTAAGACCAATATGTTGGAATTCTGAGTTGTCCAAGACTTTATCCAACACAAAGTACAATATATAAATATAAAAGTTGTTACTGTGTGGCTCAGTTGTCGTATGGAATAAATACTTGAGTGGAAAGAGTTCAAGATTAAAATTGAATCAATGTTGATTTAAGTTTAAGAACAATATACAGCCTACGCTTTGACCCTCTTTTAAAGACTGAACTCAACTTCACCGCCAGATGCTGCCATCACCACTCCCATGTATGAAAGGAACGCAATTTGTACTTGCACAAGATCGATGCAGGAAGCCTTTCGACTCATTTAATCCCTTCCTCCTGGAATATCCAACGCTTAGAAATCATAATAGCAAGCACAGCAGTCACACTTTCCATCAGTTGTGTGAATTGTGCACATCGTTCAAGCTTTTCTCTTTTGCCAGCAGGTTCTGAGAATTGGCTGCAAAGTTTGTCACGTGTGTGGTGTGGACACAGATTGTGTTTGGACGATATGGTCTGCTACACAAACAATTTCATGGCACTTCCACATCCATTTACATTCCACGTTCCTTCCGCCTCCACCCCTACCCTCCACCCCACCAACTCTCAATTCACCAGTGTCGTCATTCCCACTGTGATGGTAATCAATTGTGACAACAATTTACACTGCAAATTGAACAGAAGCCTAGCTTAATACGTCCTTCGGATGAGACATTAAACCAAGGTCCTTTCCCCCTGTTCAGGTGGAAGTTAAAGATGCCATGGCACAATTCGAAAAGAGAAGGGAGTTTCTCCTGCTGTCCTGGCCAACAGATTGCTCAACAAGATAAGGCCCTATATCAAGTGCAAGGATTATTATTAATACATGTCTAGTGCGAAAAAGGTTTAGTGTTATTAATTGAAACATTGACACTCCCATCTGTGTCCACTCTGCTCAGGACTGTGTTATTTACTTACGATGATGTTGAACTAAAAAAAAAAGGGCATAGCTGGTTCTGAGTCATTCATCAGGTTTTAGTTTGTTTTTTTCTCCTTCGTACGAGAATAATGAAATTTATTGAATGTGACAACAGACCCAAACCCTTGCTAGTTATTTGAATGGGGCGAGATCACACAATATAATTTTGCATTCATAACGTTCATCGATTGAACGGTGGAATACTGAATTTATTGCACAGTTTACGGAGACCGAATAGCAAGTATTGTTCATTTTGCTCAGGTCCTTTCTGTTTTCTCTTGGTAACACTCCTCAAATAGACATTGCAGTAGAGTGAGCCACAGCACCACAATCTACACAAACACAAACTACCTTTATAATCTGCAGTTCTGCTAATCTACAGAATTAAACGTGTAGTTAAAGCTGCATTTCCGTACAATGGCTGGATGTCAATTTCTTTAAAAATATTCTTACATTATCTTCCCTTTTATACCAAGTGCCTGAGTTAAACATCACTCCATCAGGGATCAAAATAGGAGTGAGACAGTAAATGTACTTCATTTTCGCTTTCACATGAAGGTAATTTTCAAGGTGGAGATCAAAGTTGAAAGTATTTTCCCACCATTTCAAACCCAGGTAATGAATCAAAATGTTATTTGCAAGCGCTTTGAGACGTCACAACGATGTGATAAGGCGCTATATCAAATGCATGGATTATTATCATTATATGACAGATAGTGATAGAAAAAAAGCAAACCCTGAACTTTTTGAGATTGTTAAAGACATTAGTTTTTGGAAGTACCTTTCCCCCTTGAGTAAGATTAAAAGCTATGGCCTGAGACTTCAGAAGTCCTAATCTTTGGTTACGAATACTGTCTCTGTCTCCTGTCGGTATTCGGCAGAAGAATTGTTCCAACCTCAGAGCAGTCTTGGTCAAAGCAACTTCGGTTACATTCGTGAAAAAGCTGCCACCTGCCTTCCAGTCATCTTCACAGCAGCTTATACATGCTCTACTGTATCCCGAATAGCCTCCCAGTCTATCTCTATTGGTAGCTTTGACATTCTGTCAGTTGATGTCAAAGCAGTGGTTACGGCACACTGGAGATTTTCATGGAACAAATGAAGCTCTTTAGTTGGAAACTAAAATGCAATGCTCCATCTTCATTTACATTACATGACTGCCTTATAGGGTTTGTGGACTTCTTTCATGGAAAGATCAATATAAGAGCAATTCACTAGCCAGAGCCAGTGTCTGGAACACAGAAATATAACAAGAGAGTGTGCATTGCCACCGGCTCCCTGCAATGTCTGTTTTTTGCTGCAATGTGTGTTTTAGCAATTAAAGGAGTTCCTTTGCACTATGCATCTGGATAAAACGTCTCTTACGAGGTTTGCACCGTTAATTCTGACAGAGTAGCTGATTATATAACTAACAATCCTTGCATTTGATAAAGCATCTTTCACGTGAGAAGAACATTTCAAATCACAAAGTGCTTTGCTAGGGTTTATTGTAAAGTGGAGTGACTGCGGATGCTGTGTGTGAGGATGGGTCTGGGATGAGCTGGATATGATACATTAAACACCTGTGGTAATACAATGCTCAATACTTTAGACTTTAAACGTTTCTCAACAGTAAATAAATATTCAGTGGCTGGCAGTCTGCCAATAAGCGCCACACCAGCCCCCCCACCCCACCACTCTACGTTTCTCTGTCCATTTCATGTATGAATCCGGCAGAATGTCTGGTAACCCTTACATTAATACAAAGTGCCATCTATTGGCAAGGTAGGTACATAGCACAGCATTCAGAGCTGGGTTGAATCTCTGTGATAATTTAAAGACTCCCTTTTCCTTTCAAACAGTGTCATGTCATCTTTAACATCCACTTGAACAGGCAAACAGGACCTCCGTTTAAAGTCTCATCTCAGGATGGCACCTCCGACATTGCAATGGAGTATCATCTTAGACTATTTCAGTTCCAAGTCCAGACATGGGGGTTGAACCCACAACCTTCTAAGTCGGAGGGGAGAGGGCTCACAATTGAGCACAGATTTAAGCATTCCTGCATCTTTTGGGGGAAAATCAATTCATACAATGCAATCCAGAAATATCCCTTTAACTCCTCGTTTTGTAATGCGTTGCAAATTGTTAGCCCTGAAAGGATTTGCTATCCAACATTTGTCTACTCCTGAAATAAGTCTGAAAACAGCTATGTTGGTATTTCACATTCTGCCATAACCATGAAAAACCACAGAATAGAACAGTGCAGCAAGAGCCTTTTTGATGTGTCTAATATAATTAACGCGCAAGTAGAAAACCACATAATTTCAGCCAATTCCAACAGAAAACTGAAGATTTTCTTATATAAATCATCGCAACAGAAAGCAGGTTGCCAGGTCCAAGAACCAAATATTGATTTGTGTGTGTGTGTGTGGTACAGTAAAAAGCATCTCCTTGCTATTTGGTTGCTGTCAGAGACACTGTTTAATAGCTGGAGTCAAATTGCACTATTTACAGCAAGGGATCCTGACAAGTGGACCAGAAGTATTCTCTGAAAATGGTGTTACACCACCACACGACTTGATTTGATGAAGAACTTTCATCTTTGAATTGCTTTACCCTTTCAGACTGCCTTACGCCTCCTCCTCTGCTTAAACAGCCCCACCCATCAAGCTTTCTCAACAGCGAGGAACAGACAAATCGGACGCCTGAAACAAAATCTTTTCCTTTGGAGGTGGCAGAATCCCGTGGCAAAAAAATAAGATCGTTTGAATCAGTCACTTAAGCACATGTAGCCTGCACTGTTTTCCCGGCGTTGACAATAGACATTATACATTAATCACCACCACTGAGCAAAGTTGTGCGAGAGAAGATTGGTCACTCACTCCACGGCTATTTGCGAGCCAATCGCCGTGGAACAGAATTGCCTGCCACGTGCACCCACAAGGTACACACGGTCAATCTGCTTTACAGTGTGTGCTGTGAAGCACTTTGAGGCGTCCTCCCAATGTGAAAAGACAAGCGTGTATTCGGGTGATTTGTCACAGTGCCGAGGACACTTGGCCTCTTGTCACTCGGGAGCTCTGTGGCACACGCCACACAAAGCCCAGCTGAAAGGGCTAAAGCCGCATGAAATCAGAGCGTTCACTCCCATTGTGCTAGTCAGGGTGACACACGTCTCAGGCAATAGTGGTAACAAATGCTGAATACCAATTCATACCCTGGGCTGCTGGCCCTTTTAGAGTACGTATAGCTCTTTAATACTGTGTGAGCACAGTAAATAATAATAATGATAATATTCCTTGCATTTGATATAGCGCCTTATCACCTCTTCGAGATGTCTCAAAGCGCTTCACAAAATATACTTTAAAGTGAATTGTGGGCGAATATATACCATGAAATTTTATATATATATATACACATTTATGTATAAAATTTATGTATATATTATGTATAAAAATACTCCCATATCTTCTACACATGGCACAACTTGCATAATAGATCGCAGGCTTTGTGTTGTCATGTTGTGCAGATGCGCTCTCTCCTCCATACTAAATACTAACATTTCCCAACACCTCTCACTGAGGCAAATTCTGCAATTTACAGGTTTTACAGCAAAGTCCAGTTTGTCAACGCTACATTTTCAACACCAAAGTCGGGCAATGCTGGCACATTGCTTCAAGAAGACGTTGAAATCTTTATAAGTCCTCACCGTCACTGGTAATTCTTAACCAACAGATGGATGTTAGAAGCAATACCAACCTGGTTGTTACTCTGTTGCTTAGCAGCCTAATAACATCCACCGTCGCGAACTTGCAGGGACGTCAGTCACAACCACTGGGAGAGAGACATTTACCTTCTCTGAATACTTGGAAGTGTCTTCAGCCTGGAGCGGGGGTGGTGGGACACCGAATCTGCTGCATTGCCTGGCGTTGGCGGCTTTCTTCTTGGTTGGATCAAAAGGCCTGGCTCCCGCTGACAGCGACTCCGGTGTGTGCACGGACGAGGCTGGGGAGTATTCGCAGAGACTCAGGATTGACTTGGCCGTGTTGCCGGTCTCGTGCCGATCCAGGGCACCTGGCGAGAAAAGAGTTAACGAGGCTTTCGACACCATGAGGACCCATGAGCTCCTATTGAAGAACAGCACCTCACCCACCACCCCCCACCCCCAACCCAGCACTACACTAGAGGGCCAGCCTGGACTATGTGTTCAAAGTCCCCATCTGGCACTTGAAACCCCAACCTTCTGACTCAGCGGCAAAAATGCTACCAACTGAGCCAGGCTGACACATGGGTACGAATTCCAGTGGACTTACATGCATCGGCCTTTGGGAGTGTCAGCCACTAATCTCTATAAGATGTGCCTCACAGAAGCATTACTTATCCATTCCCCAGCATTGAATTCACAGGCAATAAACACAGATAGAGGCAATGATCAGGTTAAGGGGTACGGTTGCAAGGCCTCTGGAATGTGCCACTTACTCCCCTCCTGCACTGGTTCCTCAAGCGTGTGTGTACGTCTGTGCGCATGTAATGTGTGCGCGTGTGTTTGAGAAGATAACACGAGGAGCTGTAGAAAGAAAGCGTTAAGTTGTTTTTTTTGGAAAGAAGCTCCTAAATCGATTAAAAAAATTTTTTTTACCAATCTAATTTATTGCAACGCTCCAATTATATTTTTCCTTCGCCCACACATGCCCCCATTCTTCCCCCCCACCCCCCACCCCACCCCCCTCACACTTCCCCCAGGTTATTTATAGCTCAGTACAACCATAAATACTGTACTACACAGTCCCAGCCCACAATTTGTAATGTCACAATGCAGGCAGCATCCAATCCCTGAGGGAAATGTGCAAGAGACAACATTTTTAAACCTTATCGTTTAATAATTTATAATCTCTGATGCACTTACCACCTATTTCCACTTTGTGTTTTACATATTTTTCCTGTTGACCGCTCCCACATTTACATTCACTCGGGCTCCCAACCACCCTCACCATGAGACCAGCGAGCAGGCAGGAGCACTCCAGCGTGTACATCATCAGCAGCTCGCATTTATTTAGCGCCCTTCACGCAGGGCAGGGTCTTGGAGCGCTCGCAAGCAAAAGGCTCGTGGGAACACGGCATTCCTCAGGACTGCGATGGTCTGCTTTATAGCCCGTTTACACTGAGCACTCGGTCTCGACCGTGCTACAGATATTGAACCGGCCAGGAAGAGAGGCCTAGGGCAACTTTGGTTGGGTAATGTACACCACCAGTATTCAACTAAGGTCTTTCAGTCACACATGTAAGCAATATGTCATTTCAGTCAATGACGTGGACTGCCTTTATCACACAGGTGTAGAACTAGACGTTGCGATGACCTGGACATTGTTGCGTAATGTCTCTCAAAGCCCTTCGCAGGTTATTTACAGTCGAGTGTAGTGACCGTTTCGGTCGGCAAATGCAGCAGCCGTTTTCACACAGTAAGGCCCCACAAACCAACAAGCAAGCAAACAAACAAACAATCAGGAAAGGAAATGATCAATTAACTTGGAGGTTCAGCAACGATCGTTTGGGAGAAGTTTCCCTCTTACCTTGTCAAAGAGAGTCGTGGGATCTTTAGAAAGTTGGGGCCTCGGTTTAATCTCTCACTTGAACGGCGGAATCTCTGACAACTCAGGGGAGGTGGGTGCAGATGCATTTTAAGAAGGGTGGGAGACAAAAAATGGGGAACTATTTTTCCCCAGAGGGAAAATTCTAGAGCCCTTAATTAGGGACGTTGTCATGGGGTACTTAGAAAATCACAACATGATTAGGCTAAGTCAATATGGCTTTATGAAAGGGAAATCATGTTTAACAAACCTTTTAGAGTTTTTTGAGGATGTGAGTAGCAGGTTAGATAGGGGGGAACCAGTAGAGGTGGTGTATTTGGATTTCCAGAAGGCATTCGACAAGGTGCCACATAAAAGGCATAAGATTAGAGCCCATGGAATTAAAGGTAATATATTAGCAGGGATTGGAGAGTGGCTAACAGGAAGAAAACAGAGAGTAGGGATAAACGGATCCTTCTCAGATTGGCAGGATATGACTAGTGGAGTGCTACAAGGATCAGTGCTTGGGCCTCAATTATTTACATATCAATGATTTAGATGAGGAAATAGAACTTAACATATCTAAATTTGCGGACGATACGAAGCTAGGTGGGAGAGTAAGCTGTGAAGATGACATGAGAAGAATGCAAAGGGATATAGACGGGTAAGGTGAGTGGGCAAGAAGGTGGCAGATGGAGTATAACATGGGGAAGTGTGAAGTTATTCACCCAGGTACTAAAAATAGAAATGCGGATTATTTTCTAGAGGGAGAGAGACTAGGTAGTGTTAAATGTTCAGAGAGATTTGGATGTCCTTGTACACCAGTCACAGAAGGTTAGTATGCAGGTATAGCAAGCAACTAGGAAGGCTAATGCCATGTTGGCGTTCTTTGCAAAAGGGTTAGAGTACAAGAGTAGGGAAGTCTTGCTGCAGTTGTATAAGGCCTTGGTGAGATCGTATCTATTTTGTGCAGTTTTGGTCTCCTTATTTAAGAAAGGACATACCTGCCTTAGAGGGGGTGCAACGTAAATTCACTAGGTTGGTTTCTGGGATGAGGGAGGTTGACCTATGAAGATAGGTTGACTAAACTAGACCTATATTCTCTAGAATATAGACAAATTAGAGGTGATCTTATAGAAACCTATAAGATTCTTAAGGGTCTTGACAGGGTAGATACCATGAGACTGTTTCCCCTGGTTGGAGAATCTAAAACTGGAGGTCATAGTCTCAAGATTAAGGGTCAGCTTTTTCTAACTGAGTTTGAAATATTTCTTCATTCAGAGGGTAGTGAATTTATGGAATTCTCTACCCCAGAAGGCTGTGGATGCTCAGTCCTTGAACATATTCAAGACTGAGGTTGATAGATTTCTAAAGGATAGAGGGATTAAGGGATATGGTGCGAGGGCGGGTAAATGGAATTAGGTTAGAAGATCAGCCATGATCTTATTAAATGGAGGGGCAGGCTCGAGGGGCCGAATGGCCTACTCCTGCTCCTACATCTTATGGTCTTATGGTCTTTTTAGTACTCTACATCACTAAGTACTTATCGAACTATGTCACAATCAAATTTACACAGCCCAACAACCGCATCAATTATTCACCAGAAGCAGGGGACTGACTGACTGACTGCCCCTGAGCTTCGCGCCTTACAATGTACACCTTTGGAAACCAATACAAATTGAGCAGCTTGCGCTGAATTCACAGAAGCTAGAGTTTGATGGTTTCTATTCACACGGAGCCTTAGGCATCAAATCAGTGAGCGGTCAGTGTGCACCTTTTGAAGAATCCTTTGCTCGCCAAGTCTCCGTCTGAAAGAAAGCGTTTGAAAGCTGCTCAATGCTGCCCCGTGAGCCTCATTCCTCCAACTTTACCATTATCTGCCAAAAAAAACTAGGAATAAAGTAAAAGCTCAACAGCAAGTCAGCTGTCATTCCACAAAATCTTTCACAGCTAATGTCTTTTTTTTTTAAACAAGATGTACACAAACTCACATGTCCAAGTGTCAAATAATGTGAGTTTTCTAAAGCTTTTCAATAATATCCCAAACTGGCCAGACAGTCACTGTACCTTACATCAATTTCTCTGAAGCACTTTGAGACGTCATGAAAAGCGCTGTATCAAACACAAGGATTATTGTTATCACTCTTATTGCACTCACTTGAGCACTTGTTGAATTAACTTGCCAATACCCCTGACAATTTAACTGGTATTAGACTCAAAGGCATAGACTCAAGTTTCATCCCAACTTTTTGCTATCAGTAATGTCCTCTTACACTTATCATTATTCTCCTGTATTGCAGTTGTGTATGATATTAAACACCTTGTAAATATATTTTCTGGTCAGTGTGGCTCTCATTATCTGGGGTGGTAAATGTACAATAATAATCCTTGAATTTGATATAGTGCCTTATCACGTTGTTATGACATCTCGATACGCTTCACAGAACATATATAAGGCAATGCATCAAATGCAAGGATTATTACTGATTGACGTATTTTATTGACGTCCCCGTTAAGATTTCAAACATTTGCCTTTGTAAAGTTCCAAAAACACTGTGGAATTCAACATAACAGAAAGAGAGCGCGAGAGAAAGCGAAAGATGAATGTATTCCTCTCCTAAAGGGCTGTACAGAAAAGTTAGTGAAATTCTGAGGAGATTTAAACGTGCTTCAATTCTGCCAATTCAATTCTCTTGTGTTCTGCTACATCATCTTAAAGAGGCATTGCATTGGCTGTGTACTGAGTTGCTGTGCTTTGGATGTTATTCTCTGAAAGAGAATTCAGAGCAGGCAGGATAATGCAGTGTGTGAGTGAGAATAAATAAATGTCCACATAAAATACTTGCACGATCATAATTCCATGACCCAATTTGAGGAGAAACGTGCAGGTATATTGTACATCACAGGTTTTACGTTAGAATCAATAATACCATAGATCCACCCTATTGGAACTGGCAAAATCTGTGTAAGAAATCTACACATGCGATTTCTCCAGGCCTTTGATGGCCTTACATTATATGAAGGTGGGTGTCAGTGGAAGGGGCAAGGGGTAAAATGATCGCAAGTTTCACAATCCATCCTAATTTCTAAGTACCCTTGAGAAAAACTAAAAGTAAGAGAGCAAAAAGGAGAGAGAGAGAGAGGTGTGGGGAGGGAGGGGAGGGAGAGGGAGAGAGAGAGAGAGGGGGCGGTTGGTGGGGGGGGGGGGCAAGGAAAAAGGACAATTCACAATACGCGGCAGTCAATCATGATGCTTGGTCACTCAGCCCAATTGAACAGGCCTCGTTTATCATCAGTTACAGATGAAGTTCATTGTCTGGGCAGCAAGATTTCAATGCACATCGACCTATTGTGCCCCTCTCTAACAAAGCCATTTCACACTTACTGCACCTTACTCCACCAAATACAGAAACAGCTGAAAGTCTGGCCAGGCCACCAGACCCCTAAGGTAATAGAGTTTGTTAACTAGAAAATCCTGAAGACAAAAAAAAAGGGAAAACAATGAAG